TATTATATTAAATATATAACGAATACATTATGCATTTGACTATAGCTAACGCATTAAGTTATAAGGCATACAAAGTGTTTACAATAATATAATTCTGTTGACTAGCTAGGACGAGTACACTATTGAACAGTGGGTATGAAATTGTTTTAATATAGGTTAATAATTTCCCAGATTTACATCTGCTGCATATATTATCAGATTATCCTGTCTTTAAGTGATTTCATTCTGACACTTTTTCTCTGTTTTTATATCAACATGAACCCAATTTAAAAATATAATTGTGAATGTCAGAGTATGCATGTGACCACATAAATGCCTTAAATTACTTATCACTTCAATTTGCTGAAATAAACTCCACATTCGACGTGGAGGCCACACCATCTTGGTCTTCATAGCTTCGATGAATCTGCATATTGTTTTTCATAGAAGGCAACTGGTCCCCATCTTTTTTCCCTTTCATTTCACATCACCTCACTTCACCCTTTCTGGGATGGAAAACATTGGCCCATTTGAGTCTACATGAAAGTAGTGATTATTTTATTTTCCTTTGTTTCCATCCACATATTGTATCTATTCGATATGCTCATTCTGGCCGGAGGTCTCTTCTTCCCCTGTCAGTTTCGCCGAAGGAGGCTAGTCGAGGCCAGATTGTAAATTCCGACATTCGCGTGTCCAAGGCCTCGGTACACGAAGACCTTGATGGGCCCGAGCAGGGCACCATTTGCAGTTGGGAGGATGGAGGGGAGTAGAGTGGAGTGGAGTGAGTGAGGCGGAGGGGGGAGGTGTTACGTAGCATTGGTTTCATGTGGTCGGTATGCTCGTCCAACTGACACGGCCAGTTTGCAGTAGCAAGACAGACGACAAAGTTGACTCAAAAGTCAGCCATCTGCTCGGCCACGTGGACGGTAGATCTGATTTCCACGTACCCATTTCACCGCCAATCTCGAATCAGAAGTCTTGTTTTGCTCCTCCTCCTTCACGTCATACCAGAACACGACAAACCGTCTTGCCTCTCAATGAATGACACAGGCCTTCCACTTTTCGGTAAATGTGGGCACTCAGATCCACCCACCTCTATTCACACAAACACACATACACACACACACATAAGCATTCTGCACACACTTTGTATCATGTATGTGTGTGTGTGTGTGAAGGTTACTGTGCATATTTTCCTCTGTAACTGCGTCCAGAAACCAGTTTTAGTCGAGAAGCAAATTTCTAGGCCGCCTATTTGCCACATCCACAATTCAGCTCATACTCAGGAGCATATCAGTGATGATGGGTCGTGACTTTTCCCGATTTTAGTCTTTAAAGCCTAAGCGAACTGAATGTTGTGTCGAGGATAAACGAGTCAAAGTGTGTTCGAATGGCCTAATTTTAAGGTTTACAAAATTAGTCCTTATGCCTGAATGGACACACATACACAGGCCTGTGTGTGTGTGTGTGTGTGTGTAGACTGGAGAATTTATGCAGGTGTAGAATACACCTCCCGTATCCTTCGGTGCAAAGTGGGCTCTCGAATTGGGACAGCTCATACGGTGGCCGTCTCTGTCAGTTGGCAGACTGGGTTCGAGCACAGGTCGCTCTCCGATTTACGGGCAATCAACCCGCAATTCGCAGTCATGGGCACCAGTATCTGTGTATGTGTGTGTGTGAATGTGTGTGATTATGTATGGGTTATTTATTGGACGACCATTCCGAGGGTAGATCAAGTTAGGCTGGTTTGTGGGCTCGAGGAAGGTGTGGAGGAGGGTAGACGACGAAGGGCCAGATGTAGGCTACGTCTTCAGTGAGTATGCACCAGACGGAGCGTGACACATCTTTCATAGTTTGGACAAAAGAGGGGCATGATTGCCCGAGCAAGGCCGGATTAGTGTCAATCGGACGAAGAGGCTAACAGCCAAGCTTTTATGGTAGACAATTGAGGCCTTACGCAAAGACAAATGATGTTGTTCCATTTGAACTCGATCACTTTTCTCAACTTGCCCATATTGCCCATCCTGCCACACTTCTGACATCAAACACACTTTGCCCCCTATTCACATTCTCAACTCTTTACTATATTCTCCACATTTCCCAGTCTGCCAAACTTTTACGCCATACACACTTTACCCACTTTTCACATTCTCA